GAGAGATAGAATTAGGACTTGACCCCACAATTAAAACATGCTCCGAGTGATTCTGCTTCCACATTCACACTAAATAGATGCATTTTCTACAAGGATCTATTTCCATAATTAGCAGAAAACTTAATACAACAAAAGGACATTAGAAATGAAAGTTATATCCATTTGAGAATTTTATAGAGACAAGTACACTAGAAGTGAGGATATGTGTTTCCTAAAGAGGATTTATACTTACCTTACAAAGATTATCATCACTCCCAGAATATATTAGATGGCCACTTTCATCAGCAAAACATACTGTATTAACATCAGCCTGCAACATGAAAAGTTAATGAAGTTTAGGTCCCAACCTCAAAGAAAGCAAATTAAGCAATTACCAGAAATGCATGAAAGTTCGTTTATAAGGAGTGAGGGAGAACAGATGAAAATGCAACAACCCACAAAAGAAATAAAAAATAAAAAAATTTGGAATCACGATGGCCACCAAACTACCTGCCTCCAAGCATATTTATACCCTTAATCCTCCTCCTCACACAACTACATTAGTATACTATATGCTAAACATAGACATGTGCATGGTTGCTCTGATATACACTATACAGAAAGGAAATGATTAAGACTAGAAGCTGGAACTATAGAACTTAGGCTAAAAAACAAGGAAAATATTATCAAATGCAGAGCATCTAAAGTTTGGAAAGCATGGAGAAGGTAATTACCTAACATATTTGACAAATGATATCAACTAATATTCCTTTTAAGGAAGCCATCAGTTTTCTTTCACCTATTTTATTAATCGAATGATACTTTCAACTCATCTTTGCCACTAGTAATTTCCACATGCCATTCAACTTGGGGATTTTAATTACAGGTATAAAACTATAGCTTCTAAATATATTTAAAATTTGTGAATAAGAATTAGTTAACTCTGGTTGATTGACTAAGGATTATAATGTTTAAGCCTCTAGCAACCAAGAGTATAAAGACTAAGTTTCAGAAATATAAACACCAAATGGAAGTAAAATGTAAGTCTTCAATATCTAAGTAAAACACAATCAACCAAAGAAATGTAAATCAAACCAAGATTCTACAAAATTTGAACCTACAGCATGTGCTGGTATTTGAAGGGAAGGCCTTTTTGCTTCAAGATCATAAACATATATACAGTGGTCACTACTTCCAGCAACAAGTTCTCGTCCATCTGTTGAGAATTTCACAGAAAATATTCCAAAAGAATGCCTTATGCAATCAGTGTCAGTAAAATCCAGACCTTCATGTATCTCCTGAAAAAGACACAGGGGTATCAGTAAAAACCATGCTTGAATAATTACAAACCTTGATTATGATATTTCATGGTGTGAGAGTGAGAGCTTTGATGCAGAGTCAGTGAGCCAAAAACTTAGTTAACATTTTCCCATTTCACGTATGAAACGAGTTAGTGGTCAAATAGAGATGGTCTATGACATTATCATCCAAGCAATTGCCTCCCTGACAGATATCTTCATAAAGCTTTTAGCAAAACTTTAACCACTTGCTACCAAAAAAAAAAAAACTTTAACTACTTATACTGCAACCATGAACATCATAAACCTTCATGAATGGACAATCTATAATCTGTAAGTTTAAATTTGATTCTAAACCTCAATGCGAAGAAAGTGTAGACAAAGTAAACTCTGGAGTTTATGACCAGAGGACAATCAGACTCAAAAACTATTGGACTCAATAGTTAAAAACAATAAACTCCACATACCGTAATATTTGCAAGAGACTCAGTTTCAGGAGTTGCAACATTAACGATGTGGACGATAGGTGATAGGCTGGTGTAAACCTGCAAGAAAATATATATTCAATTAAGATATTTACATCAAGCATTGATCTTCATGTTAAATTTAATCCATCTGAATTTGTGATGCAGTATCACAACTGACTGTCTCCAGTATGCACCCTGAAGATGTGAGTTCTAGCCTGTTCACTTATGTCAACTGCAATGGTTTCATCTAATAAAGGATGAACTACAGTGTCAAGACCTGAGCTTGAATACATATTAAATCAAGTCTTCTGAAAGAAACCTTTCAGCAATCAAACACTTATCCAATTCATATTTGGTAGCTAAAAAAACATCAAAATGAGTACGAAAAGCACAATCGTGGAAACTAAGAAGCCATCGATTTTATGAAATTATGCTTAAAGAGATCCCAAATGGACTCACAAGATAACGCTGATCTGGGGAAAGAGAAGTATCAGTGATGGTCCACCGCAGACTTTTGGCAAGAATGTTCTTCTGAATTTTCCAGCCTCTATCTACATTGTATACTCTAATGTTGCTTCCCTGAAACAAATATTTATAATCAAAATTTATTGAACATAACAATCCCCCATTTTTTCCTCTGATATGTGGTATAAAAAGTCAATTTCTACTTTATAGATTGAAAGGAAAAGAAAAAGTCTTTTCCTCCACTCTTCTACATATTTAAAAGAATACAAGTCAATGAAAATTCTTTGTTTGGCAGAACACTCCACAGAAGAAAGTACTAACTGTAATACCTGAAACCCAGCAATGAACAGAGAACCATCAGCTGAAAACTGAGAAACATAAGCGCGGGAATTCATCTGGTCAACTACCCAAGGTCCATTAACAGGCAAATATCTGCTAAGCATATGACAACAATCTGCAGATGTAAACCTCCCTCTCCCTGAACAATTCCTCTCTCTCCCTGCCAACATCTTCACCGTGGAAACAGGCAAACTCCTCTTCTTAGGCAAGAAATGACACAGCCCATCATGAGGTCCTGATCTGAGCTTCGTAAGCTGAGCAACCTCATGGTCCAAGTTACAAGACGGTTGTTTGTTGTCTGAACTATTACCACCGTCATCTTCATTGCTGATCTGCCTCTGACCGCCGCCATCTTCATGGATTGTCTGGCTCTGACCACCATGTAAGTGCTCAGATTCTATCTCCAGTGTACTCAGAGTATACCCCAATTCGTCAATCACAATACCATTTGCTCTACGAAACATCTTAATCTAAATAACTTCCTGTACCACTAAAAGACTCCCACAATCCTTTTGAACCCCTTGACATCAATTCAGTTCCAGTCCCTAACAGTTAACATAGCAAACCTGAAAAACAAAAATTACAAAAGAGAAAAACTAAGAACACATGTTAATTACAAATGACTTAAAAATTCTGCAAGGAAGGAGAATTGCAGAGAAAATCTCACTCGAGGTTTATTCTGTTTGGTTTTGATGGAAATGAAAATTGAAACGTGGGGAATGTAAAATATCCTGTTCGCGTGGAATTTTTTTTTTTTTTGTTTTTTGTTTTTTTGCATGATTGGTTGTTGTTTGGGACGGAGACTTCAGAGCTGGGACACCTGGATTGTGTGGGATCCAATCAATCTCTCTCTGGGATCCAGAGTTCGAAACAGTTTGACCTCATTTTGCACGCTGCATTTCTCTTTCCACCAAGCTTGTATTGTAACTGGAGGAATGCTAGCTGCACTCGCCTTTCTCCAGCACTCTCCAACACTCCCTCATCTAAAATAGCCACGTCAACTTTTCTAGTTGGAAACTTTGAATTGCAAGCCAAAATTTGTTACGTGGACATTTTACATGAGAGAGTGTTGGAGAGTGCTGGAGAAAGGCGAGTGCAGCTAGCATTCCTCATTGTAACTGAGTTCGTGTGCTGCAATAAAGGTGGGCAAAAATCGGTTTCGGTTGAAATCAAAATCGATTTTAAAATAATCAAAAATTTTCTTCTTTAATTTTGAAAATTAAAATCAAACTAAAATTTTCACAAATCAATTGATTTTGTTACAAATAAAATCGGTTTAATTTTAGTTTTCACTAAATAAATATTAATCAATTTTTTTTAATAATAAATTATATTTTATTTTATATTTTATTATATTTATTCAAATTTCAGTTTTTGAAAGCTCATTTTTTGTTTTTAATTTGTGAAAAATTCAATTAAAACCAAATCAAAATTTATTCGATTAATATCAAAATCAAAACAACAAAACTTAAAAACCATTGAAACCGAATAGAATTCATTTTTTTAATTAGATTTCCAAGTAACCCTTCATTTACCCACTCAAATGCCCACCCCTAGCTACAATGACAAGTTGAGTTCGAGTTTGTATCAAGTTTATATATATTGAATACAAATTTCATTAACAAGCTTCCTT